ACCGTGGGCCGAAGTCATCTACGCCTCCCCCGCCTATTAAAAAAACCCAATTGAATGCATCCCTTCAATCACACAAGGCACCTCAGGCTGTTGACGATCAATCCGAATGGCGTCTCCCCTCAATTCTAACAGCTGGTTCACTGGACGAGTTGCCAGCATCCAGCCCTCTCTTGCCCGAGGCACCTGTGATGCCGGCTGTTTTGGAAGCACAGTTAGCATCTATGTCCAATCGTGAGACGGATGCGAAGGATGATATAGCTGAAAAACACGGACTGTACTTACGACGGCCTAAACGACGTTCCCAGCAGTTGCTGAGTAGTGCAAGCATGCATAGTCTCATCTCATCAGTAAACAGCCAAGATTACCCTCAGAACTACCATTCGCAAAAGGGCGGGTCTATTATGGCTTCCGTCGTGGATGGTAATCTGTCTCTTCCTACCACGCACAAAAAACATCATTATTCGGGACTAAGCCTGCTATCTCTTAGCCACCATAGGTCGAACAGTAATACACTAAGAAAACTGCGATCCTTGGATGTACAGCAGTTTTCTTCGCTGTTAGATTTTGAAGAGAGATACAATGACCCATGGGTCGGATCCATATCGTAAGCTGAGTAGCAAGTTATTTTTTCGCTAATCTGTATTCATGTTATCTGTGCGCCCTGCTTGTTCAACACATGGTTCATGTTTTGTTTTTCGATTAGTATCCCTCCATAAACCTTTGTGGAGTGCGTCAAGACCCATTTTTTTGCCGTTTAATTATTCAAAATTCATTTGTTATTCGTAATTTATGGTCACTTTAGCTGTGTCCAATCGCACACATCTAGCTCATAAAAACCACAACATTGACAATTTTATTGCCAAGTAATTCATGGCTCAAAATTGTGTGCATTACTGAGGTTCAAGGTTCAGCGGCTGTGTTTATAACTGGTCAATAGCCTTGATGGAGCCTGCTATTATGACCGCGAAGTAACGGTTACAGCAACACAGATCAATCAATTAATTTGCAATATTGACTGGCTCAAATAATGCCATTAGTATGGTAGTCAATTCCAGCTGCGGCATATACTCAAAAAGAACGAATGACTTGGAAGCCTTTTAAGCCAAATCTTACAATTATGAGGCTGTTATCACTTACGTTTTGACTAAAATGTTACGCACAAGAATGGCCTCAATTGTTGATCAGTTGATCTTGATTATTTCCCCCCCCCCCCGACCGGTGTGGTGTTGATCGTGCACACGCTCAATTGGGTGGTTTCATGGACATTTCGCCCATGAAACTATCCAGGCTCCCTCTCGTCCATCAACACAAGGTTGGATATCAATTGAAGGTAGCTGCGGTCAAAATTATCTACCACCTTTTTATCAAGTAAAAGCATGTTTGTCGTAATGTCTGACGTTTTGATGGACAATTCCATGTTGAACACTGGACACGTCCGTGGGTAAAAGTTAGTTTCTTTGGTGCTCCCCAGTTTTCGCACATTTTGCTGTGATATCGTCTGCAATAATTTCCCATATTTCTCTGCCATGCCCGACTTCATGTGGTACATATATAAATTGAACAAACCTGTGGCATTTAGTATCCGCGTAACAATGAAAATCTTGCGAGAACCTGAAATGTAAACCAAATAAGCATTGTTACTAACTCTTCACTGCGAACAGGTTAATTCAGATTTCTAACAAACCAGTGTAAAATTAAAAAGAAACTTTTCCATTTGTCCAGTCCCAAATTTATTAATATCGAATCAAAATTTTCGCAACCGTTCAGTTTTCATTGTGGGCCATTGAATGAGTGACTCGCCTTGGAATAGTTCATTTTTTCCCCACGAAAGTACCGTGTCAATTTTTTATCAGTTGTTTATACTCCTGAAATCCCACGTGCAAATTCTTGGCAATTTCATCGAGAGTAAATTTTTGTGATGACAATTTTCGCATCAGTATTATTTTACCTGTGTATATAGCAGCTTTGAGTAAACGGTCAGCTCCAAGCAATTTTGATCTATTCTAGTGAACTATATCCGAAACTCGACACAGAAATGTCTCCCCTCTTGGTCACTAATTTAAACGTCTGGACACAATATCTATGTGGTAATGACGCTAACACATGCACACATTAAACTCAATAAGGTCACACTTTGGTTGCACACGCGACCTAGAGAATTTCGCTACTTCGGCACACGACCAGGGGTCATGCCTTATTTCCGGGCGTAAACATGTCCGATAATAGGGCCATGATTTCTCAATACATTAGGTCATGAGTCGTTACTTCACTAAACGCTAACTCAACATGTTTGTGTGCAAACACCTCTGACAATTTGGAGAGCAAGGTTCCCCTGCTGAGTCTTTATTACGCCTCGAAACGGCGACCTGTAAGTTAAGGGGTAAGCATTTGACGTAAACAAGTTGCTATACAACCTTATTAGGGTGGATTGATCGCGTTGTAACCACGACCAGTGGCTCCACAAGTGCGTTACCTGTAACAATGCGGCGCTCACTGAGTTGTCTTGACAATAACTGATGTCCTGAAAGAATAAATATATTACGAACATATGCGTGTTTGTGTGTGAATCTTTGGGGGGTTTTGGTGGTGTCCTTTTACCTTTGAGCAGTTATTTAGCCTATTCTACTTTCAGAAAATCAGAGTATTTAAGTAGGAACCAGTAGTTGGGACTCGTGTTTGGTACTCTGATATGAAATGACTTCTGAGGTATTTTTTTTTGCTGACAAGAACGAAATTCCCTTCACTTCTCTTTTCACATCTCAGCCGTCATAATTACAAAGTAGAACAGTTTTATGCTGCTTTTATGAACCATGTTCGTGGAATTCAAAAATATTAATAGTGAAAATGGAAAAAAGCTATGTGATTTTTTGTCGATTCAGTATCACTCGTACCATAAACACGGTGGTATCAAATGTTTGGGAGTAGGGTAGCAATAAGAGGTTACCGTTTTCTCCACCATTCGAGCGTTGGAAAGTTTAAGTCTCAAATGACAGTCTGACGCGACACAGAAGATTATTTACACCAGAATTTAAGGTAGGTGAAAGTAACGCGCAACAAAGATGCTACGTTTGCTGATAGTACCCTAAATAGAGGAGAAATATGGAGGCTATAATATTCCGTTCTGGTGAAAGAAACCTAAATATCAAGCTTCGTAGAAAATGTCATGACTGTTTTAGTGCTGAGGTTAACTGAATGCCCCTCTGGGTGTTGGCACCACCCGCAGAAGTACTTGCAATGTTTGCAGCACCATCGATGACCATCACAGAAAACAGAGCAATAGTTTAAAGGCCCGAAGTTTGAGATAATCACGTCAAAGTAAAAGCATGAAAGCAATGAGGATATAACGCGTGCTGTTTTTTGGTAGAGGCATAACAGAACTCATTCGCTTTTTATTCAAAAAAAGTTTGGTTGGCAATGAAAGAGAGATGAAGTACAACAAGAGTAGATTGTCAGAACGGTGGGTTGATTGCGTTCACTCGAAAGCCATGCTCATTATAAGAAATAACGTCAAAGAATTTCGGGGTAGGCCATCCTCACTAGCCACTCTTATCTCTTACGAATTCTATGCGCAGAGTCACGTGAATAAATAAATGAGATCCACAGGTAAACTGATCAAAGAAACCCATAATTTTACAAGAGTTCCAACTTTCATGTTGTGAAGATAGTCCTAAGAAGTCAGATCTAGGGGATATGAGGTCCTGTCATTCTCTGACATATTATGAAGCACCGAATACAAAGACGGGCTTTGATAGCGTGGATTAGTAAATTACAGGTCCCAATTGAAGCCTATATAGACCTTACGTCTTTTAAACCTGTTTTTCGGGAAGAGGGTTTTTCGTAGAAACGTTTTGGTAACTTCGCACTTTGGTTAACAGTGTTAGCTTCATTACCAAGAATTGGCAAACAACTTTATCCTCTTAGAGCAACCAGCACTCCTTTTGCTAGGTCGAGGTCAATGGCTGTAAAAGAAAACAAGCTGGTGTGTACATGACGATTAATAGAATTGTGATCCTGACTGCAGAACAAAAACACTGCTGATCCGGAGAAAGCGCACCAATGCACTTGCCACTTGAAATTGCATATTAGTATGTTAAAATGTTTAACCATTTGGCTAGTTAATGTAGCCTATGTGCTTCTTCGATATCACGAGCTTCCCGTTGTGCACTTTCCACATTCCATTCCTTTGGTTTTTTTACCCTAGAAAATGTAGCAGGTTATCCAATACAACTATCAAGCATGCGTAGACGGTGTTTATGATGTTGATGACTTGCTGATTACGAATGTTTAGTTGTGCTTTCACTGGTACCTATTGGTTGGCGACATAACACTGAAATGTAAAGGAGGCACATTTCGTTTGCGCATTAAAAGTTCGATTGTAACGCGCTACCAAGTCGTGTATTGGTAAAACAGAGTGTTTATCAATTTAAAAAGCATTCTCAGTCCGAGTTAACAAACGTAACAGCTAGGAAAGTGAAATCACTCCAGCCGTCCAGGTAACTTTGCTGATATACCTCGTGTTGCTTAACCCTTTGAAGTATGGGTTTGGTATCTTAATTGTGTTAACTGTGAATAGGACAGGTGTGCTCATTGTTTAGAGCATCCCCACTCTGTTCCATTAGGTTAATGCTGTAATTTGTCTAGAGCGGAGTCAAGACTATGTAGTCGATTAGTTTGAAAAATGTATCCTAGAACTCGTATGAGAGGTCTGGTCTCATGTATTTGGGTTAATCTAATCAACCAAGGCAAAGTGCCAGAGTGCCCTAGCTAGGTTGCAGACCTTTTTGAGTCGTAATAAATTTGTGTGGTCTGGTGTTTTGGTGATTTCAAACAACTCCTTTTCCGTTGGTCCATTCTGCCTCCTTCTTAGTTGATTCTCATAAACTAATAATGAGCAACACTTATCGGTGTTGGGAATATAGGTGCGTTTGCGTGACACTGACAAAAGTCGATGTTTTACCGAAGCTTTAAATTTGTCCGGTGTTATTTTAGTGACCTAACTGATGTTAGCTAATCGAAATTAGGATAGGTTTACGATGTCGTTTGACCATTGTAGAATTTTAACACTGGTATCAAAAAGTCCTTCTCGACTTCATTGTGTTGTGGTCCTAATTTTATCCTGAACGTTAGCCCTACTTTTGTCTGATGTCAGATCCTTATAATCCGAGGCTTCGTTAATCCTCTAAAATGTTTCTTTTATCTTATTGACCTCGCATTCAGTTATCTTTTCGCTGTTTTTAGTTTGAGGCGCACTGCAAAACCAAATTTGGCAAATGAGAGACATCGCGAAAATTCACTTTTTCTTTCAATTCTTGAAGCAAAAGGCTTGCAAAATAAAAAGAGGTGAGTGTCATTTGGTTTCCTATCTATATGCGAAATTCAAAGGCATCGTCGTCAATTTCATCCATAAACATATCTCCCATATATCAATTTGTTTAAAATCCACGTATAGATGGACTTTTTACCATAAACATATAACTCCGACTTCTTTCTCTATCTCGGCGTTCGCTGACTAAGGTAACGGGCTTCACGTGTTATGGGCCCTAGCATGTGGTCTTGAACCACGCCGGGGCCACGGAATTAAATCTGGTCCGATTGTGTTTCCCCAATACCCGCGATGAAGAAAAAGAGCAGAGAGGACGGGACACAACCGTTTGCTTCAGAGCTCTACCACGTTGGTGTCGCGTGTGGAGTTTGCGCATGTGTATTTGTACCTCGGATGTGTGAGTCATAAATGCGCTAACATTGAGACCTATGCGTGTGGATACTCCAAGATAAATATTCGTGCTAATGAAGGGGGAGTTGAGGATTCGTGAGGCTGGCGACATGCCGCGAAAAGGGGAACCCTGTGTTGGAGGCTGGATGATCGGATTAAGGGGTTGAATAAACACGATTCACGACACACGCATCTGTATCGTCTTGCAATTTTTACCCGTACTGTTGTTTGCTCTCTGAAACAGCAAACTACACTCCCTGTTGTTGAGGTGGTTAATTACGCTGGTCATATTTTTGTCAGTTTGCTAAGACTTCATGGGACGAGCGTTTATGTAGTGTTTTCTAAGCTCAATGAGTATCTGAAAATGCGAACTCTTTCAGAAGTCTTAACCGAAAGCCACTGGACTTGACTTTTGAGCGTTTAAACTTTGTAGGTGTGGCGATTGTTTCAAATTGCCACCTTATCGTCTGGATCTGTGTCAAAAACATCTTACCACAAGTTTTAAAAAAGTGCCATCATCTTTTTCGGAATCCTATTTTGTGATTTCTAAAAGTGATTTTTTAATTATATGATGGGGTCTATTCCGTACATTTATTAGTACCTGGGCACCAAGCTGCTCTCTTACAGATTTTTCAGTGACGTGGGCTCTGGTGTGAACTCATTTTTACTCCTGGGGGACGGGAGTGTACAAATTTTCAACGGTTTCTTTAAATTCTTGACAGACCTACAGTAAATCAGAGGCGCGAAAATTTCGTTAGCCTTGTTGAACGGGAAGTTCGCTGATGGATTACAATGTCGCACATTCTACAATTAATGGCTAGGGCGTTCATTTTTTTTACTTCTATTACACAAAACTCCAAAGTTCACCAAGTGTAGTTCAACCAGAGACGCGAGCGTATAGAAGAATGTTCAAGTATACTTGATGAACAACACATAATTTTCATGGCACTATACTTTGGATGAACATGAAGTACATTGCAAGCACACTTCTCTTCGAAGTGAGACTTGGGAAACGTTAATGCTTTAATTTTAGCATCTAAATAAATTTTCTGTGAGGTGCGTCAAAGTTTATTTACAGAAATAAACTACTTACTTCATTTCAAGAAGTTCAATAAATGGCAGACCATGCAGTCGGTCTATATGGAAAAAGATGACTAGTCGATTGTGTTGCAATCACTTTTTTGTATGAACGCAGCTTGCAGAATCACGTTTGCCATCCTGTTAGCGTCCAGTGACCCAACTTCCTCCTACTCTACCTATCGCTACCGTGCAAAACAACTGTTCCTTTTCTATAACAGTTGTCTTTATCGTGTTATGTACTAGATGTACATTTAAAAACGATGCATCCTAATTGGGGATCTGCATATAAAGACTGTTAAAACGACAGCATTTAGCAGAGGAAACAAAACCAATAACAACAATTTCTTGTCATTAATATATAACTGAAATAACGGATGTTTAATGCATACAATGTTTATTTACTGGCTGCATAATCCTTGATTATCGCCCAAAGTTACATAGTTCTATATCGGTAACATGGCGTCGTCGGAAATGAAGTGTTCTCTCCCATCGTCTTGACCTGGATTTATGGTTTCTGTATTCTTCTTTAGAACATTAAATCCACATATTTTCCCGTCCTTTGTAAAAGTTTCCATTTAGAATAGAATCTAGTTAAACATGATTTACGCGTTATTCTAATAACGTTGACTCCAATTTTTAATGAAAAATTTAACATGCTGCGTCTGTCACCACGAATATGCATATGGTTGTCTAAGTATCGATGTCATTTCAACCATGCTGAGGAAATTAATACTACACACGCGTGTGATTAATGCTACTCCGCTTTGAAATAAATTCCAACTAATTAACTGTTTTATCTCCCTTTCGATATGAAAGTATTTTGAGGTAGTCTGTTGATTTCCGATACCATTCGGGAATATTTCTTTCATTCACCCCACCTGAATTTGCAGCCCAACTTTTGTATGTCAGGTTTTCAAAACTGGTGCTCTGGCTCCCGACACAACGCCATAAAGTGAGAAAGACGGTTAACCGCCCACACGTCAATCTACACACCACGCGAGCATAGCAGTTCCATATCCGCACGGCGAAACCTTATTTACTTAACTAGATTTAGTGTGAGTTTGTTGACAAACTCCACCAAAATCATCTGCCATTTCTAAAACTGTGTCATAACGACATCCTTTGGTTTGTTTGAATTCGTGCGATTGCCATTCGGTTAAACTTTCGAACATTTAATCCATCACGATAAGAATTTCAATTTTTCACATTTTCACTCAGTAAATAACAAGTTAATTCTTCTAAATTTAAGCGTTGGGGACAAAATCAGGTACTAACCAGAAATTGAGCTAAATCTTGTTGGCAGGTCATCTTTCTCCCTCTCTTCATCCTCTCGTCTTTCCATTGTCCTTTGGGCTTATTGAGTACTACGCAAACCACAAAGCCGTAAGTTTACATCGAAGGTAGCATCAGGCTGAGGTCGAACACATTTGTCCACTTGTCCACTTGAACACTTGTTGCAGTTTTTCGGCTGCTCTTTCATATCTTCGTCTTTCCTAAATCCCGCCTCTGCAGACAGGCGTTGATAATTGCATGTGTCTCATAGTAACCTTGATTTGTTTGGTGAAATCGTAACTGTTAATGCATTTATTACGCACATAAAAATTTATCACTTCATTCCTAAATCAACTCCCCAACTGTGTCTCATTTCTTAGTTGCTTTCCATTTACTTTTCACTTTCATGCCTCCTCATTGTCCTCTCACTTTCTCGAGTTTCTCTGTTCGGAAGACTCCCATCTTCGCTTCTGGATCTAAAGCAGGGCGCCCTCTTTTTTTATCAAAAACGGTACTTTTGACTCAACACTAAGTTGTTTCAAATTAATAAGTCCATAAGGCTATTTTTGTGACCACTATCCTTTTAAAATGGATGTGTAAAAAGGCTATTATTGATGTTTCGTGAAAACCTCATTAAATATTTTTATTTATAAGAAAACACTTAATACATACTTAATAAAAAATATTAGGATTCGCTTGCAGTTTGGATTTTATCTACCTGATTTCGAACTAGTTTCGACAATTTTTGGGAGGTGTAGGGAGTACCTTGTGTCCGCGTTCAAGCTCTTTTCAGTGACACTAAATGTTCACACAATAGCAAACCTCCCTTTACAACGCATTTTTTTCTGCGGATAGTAATTGTGAACACATTGTGCTCGTGTACATCTGGGCACTTTCTCTAGAGCGCACGCACATGCGGTTTCGTAATTTTGTGGCACAATTTTCTCTTGGGGAAGTTTTTGAAGACTTGCAGTCGCCATTCTGCTAATTGGATGACTCATTGCCTCTGCTTTCTACAGGGTTCAGCTGGAATGCTTTTAAAACATGCGTTATGAATTAGTCGGGATGCTCTAATGTTTTCGATTGCTTGATTTCCAATTTTTCCTCTTATATCCATAACTTGATCTGAGCCCAAAAGCGTCGCATGTTGCATAGCATTAGTAAAGCAGACGTGCTTGGCGACTGCAATCAGAGGCCCCCCAACAGCAATGTTTTGCGGTTGAATAAAAGACGAGTCTGATTCGACCCCAACCTTCTTCCTACTTGGGTATTTCATGTCTCTAGCACTGTAGCACTATCAAATCCACTTTTGATGCATTTCTGTTAAGTTTAATTCAATTTACATTCAGAGGCGATTGTTCAATCTCTGTGACTCGTATGTCTCGTTTTGAGGTCCCTTTTATACAATTGAGTTTTTAATTCACGATGATTCTCAAGACGGGTTCTCGCTGCATGTTTGTTTCGTTTCAAGTAAAAAAATACCGACATAATTTATAAGAATATACAGAGTGGTTAACTTAAGGATATCATGCTAAACATATCTAGAAGTTATAAATAGGAAGGGTTAAGCGTTATCGTGATGTAAAGGTAACCTACGGCACAACTTCTCAGCTTTTTTTCAAATATCGTCGTGGTGAAAGTTTGCTGTGATTCTTTTCACCTATTTCGAGCCCTTAGCACCAGTGAATTTTCAGCTGCTTTAGGAACCGGAAGGCAGCCAACTAGAACTTCTTGGAATGGTTTCATTTCCTCTGAACCCGATTTTGTCTCTAGAATTGTACATTTAATCGCCGTCCAATCAAAAGGTTGACTTTGTTGGCTCATTCTTCAACAATTACATTAACTATATTTCAGAATGTAAAGCATCGATTTTGACCTTCACATGACAACATAATGAAGAATACATACCCACTGGTTCACTTTAAAAACAGGCAACTCAGCAAGGGATTGAACACTTATGACAAGAATGGACACAATCTGCATAAGGCAAGTAACGCCTAAATTTCTGATCTCACAGACATGCTTAGAATCAGTTCAATGGCTACATTAATATTTTTATTATTTGAGGGTTAGGATGTAAAGCTTTTGAGTCTACTAAAGATTGAATCTGTTTCCAGAGAGAATATGGAACAGAAAGGACTACTGAAAGCGGGACCATGCAGAGCTGTCACAATGATAATCAGAAATCACATACATATATTCGTGGTATATAGTAGTACACGCCGCTTTGATTGTCATTGACGTAATTAAACTCGGGTGTGCGGAATCTGGAAAATGAACCGTCGTTTAAAAACCAAGACGGTTTGGCAAGGATTATTCAACCAGCGGAGTCATGGGTTTACTCAGATGACATGAACCAGGAGGTTAACCTGTGATTCCTCTGGAGACAGCATTATTGATAATTCATTCTCTTCAATCTGATTTTGATCACTTATTGCAGATTTTTCGGTTGCTCTCCTAGATGGCTTTCCTCACTCGTTACTGCATCCCTTGAAATGTTTAGTCTTGTCATACGCAAAAGTTTAAAAAAAAGTAATCAAAAAGCTGTCCACAATGTTTCGGTTATTGCCTTATCGTCCTATTCTAATTTGGTGAGTAATTTGTTACCGTCCATTTTTGAAATATTCTCTTCTTTGCGAGAACCTCAAAGTAACCATAGTAAGGCAGTACTTCTGAGGGCATTTCATTATACTTACCTAAATCAATGTTCCAATGAATGAATTTGTCATTTTTATTCTTGTGGACAAGTTATTTTCAAACACAATCTGGAACCCTTCTTATTCACATATCAACCACGAAAAATGCTTTATGTTACTCATAAGCGTAATGCCATTTAGACCAGTTTTTGTGTTAGCTTCAACTCTGTAATTTTACGGAGTTGCGCTTGTCTGATGTGACTCATTTTGGCCCCAAACTAGTTCGGTTGCAATGCAGTGTGATTTGGCTTGATAGTGCCGACTGCTGCACGCACATACTTCACATGTCTCAGCCTGGTACCGGTTGCCGTGTTCGTCACGTCCGCTGCACAAATGCACTGCACATCATAAGTCTTTAACATCTACGTCTTCCGGGTGTGGCTTGCCAAGGGAAATTGAATCAACTAAGATAGGCTTGATTGGTTTTTGGCTATTGTACCTTGTGTGGTAAATTCTGCATGTTTCCCTTTCCAAAAAGGCAACATACCAAAATCATTCCAATTTATTTAACACAAAAGCGCACATTGTTTTGTATAAATCTAAGATGTTGTGAAAGCTCGATTATATTTCAATTCTGAAATGTTATTCACATGATTGTGTCCTTGAAGAACGGAACCAAAACTGAAGGTGAAAGTGTAAAATTGCCGAAAATCCTTATCAATAAAAATGGAGGCCTTTTGGTGGACCGCATCGGTTTCACTGACTTGTTAGGGTCGAAGCCCAGTTGATAGTGACGAGACAACGCAATTAAAATGGACGCAATTACCAAGCATGGTTTGTTTAGTCACCTTTATTGATGTTTGTATATGCAGGTTGGTTATGTCAATAAAGCAGGTAAATTAGGCTCTAGATATGTGCAAAGACGGTTATTAGGAATTTGAGTAATTTGAAGAAAAAAACCACTAAGCCTCTAATCGGGCGATAGTTAATTCTCCACAGCCTCACAAATTAGTGACTTGTCTTAGACGAGCTTACACAGAACCTGGTGGCACTTGGGAAATGAATGGGTTTCGCAAGTATGTGTAGGAAAATGAACGCTTTGCTAATGGTGTTCGCTTGTAGAAATTAAAATGCATGATCACACCGTGAAGTTGTAACTCATGAATTCAAAATTGATTTTAGGTACTCATTTTGTGTCAACTCTCTTCTGATTGTTTAAAAGAGCCATTTTTTGCTGCTTTTTGAAGGTATTTATGTGATTTTGGGTTGATAGATATCACAATTACAAAGGTCAACTGAGGTGGTCCCAGTCCCCCACCCCTCTCTTGATAGAAATGGCTTCATATGAGAATATACTCTGGCAGTACTTCAAACTTCACCTATTTATTTCTTGAGTCACCATAAAATGAATCCGTAGAGTTTTATTTAAGTAGCCAATGCAATACAATTCGCTGCTGGATTAAAAAATTGTTGTTTTTCAGTTCTGAAGATGTTGCGTTATTGTGACATTGCGTGGCACCTGACCATTGCTCGTCTCGTAGTTTAGTCTTGAAATAGTTTCCTTACAAATCAAAAAGTACTAAGAAACCTCTCATCATTGGAGTGCTTTCGTGAAACATTTCCATCCACTTTTTGAAGTCATTCTGCAGCTTTGAATCAGAAATCATGAGACATCCCAGTACGTATTTTATTTCAGTATCGAAGAAGGCAGGAGGCCGTTACCGAAATAAAACGATCGTATGCCAATCATAGTGATAGGTTTTTTGTTTTCTATACCCTTGCAGATTTATAAACTATGAAGCACTTTCTTCACAACTTGTGCTGATTTCCCTTTTTTGGGTATCAAGAGACATTTAGGCTAAATTTGGCCAAATTCTGACGTATTAAAAAAACAAATGCTGGCTCCAGCGTCAGCTACACCCATGGGAATCGCAGGGCTTAGTATAATTGTGATCATTGATGATGAGTTACGGCTTATTATAGTCTCAGCCCATGAAATTAAGACCTACATTGTGTCTCAATAGTTGCAATGTAACTATTCACTTTTTATCCATTATTTAATAATTTTCGTTACAAGCAGTTCATTTGAATAACTTCTTGGTCTTTTGAGTAAAACAACTATCTTCCTACCCCTATAAAGCTGCCAATTTACATTTAAAAGCAATTCAAGGTAAACTCAAACCGGCTTTCATTTTATAACTCTTCCTTGATACTGTTCTACAGTACTCAAAAATTTTAATTAGATGATGTTGGATTTGACCAATAGGTTAAGGACAACATTTTCACTTGCGTAATTGTCGTTCGATGTAACTACCATCGGAAGTCTGACAATGACAAGGCCATTCATTTTAATGAAGTTTGTATTTTTTGAGTATGTGCATTTTCTATCTACCTCACCTTTTCACTTGATCGCCTAGTTTTCAAAACTCGGTTTAATTATTTGCTCAATCGCCGTCAAAGTTGAACCTTATGTTCAGATATTTAAGCTGCATCAAACCGCAAGATTCAATACTTCCTGTTATCGCAAATTGGTACGTACATTCAATCCGGTGCGTGATGGGTATGAATATTTTCATCCAGTGTGTAGAATTTACGGTCATAAGACCCTCACAGTGGCGTCATTATACGTCACGTGTTTTATAACCCATCGGGTTCCAGCTTCGGTGTCACATTGGCTTTGATTATTTGTATCAGTTTAACCGGAAGAAAGTGGGTCTAGATAAAGAGTGCACTTAGGGTTGGGTAAACTGACACCATTTCACACGTTTATTACAACAAGTTAAACAGTCACAGGATCTTGGCTTTTTCCAATTAAAGTGTGCAGTTGTCAGAAGGGAGGATTCAGGCTATTCAAGCGGGATCACCCAGAGCTTTCAACACATGGCAAAACATCATGGTTTAGCTTTCCCCTACTTTTCTGTAAGTTTTAATATTTTTGTACGATGGTCTTTGAGAAATCATCGTCTTAGTAAATAGAATACGATGTCATCGCAGGATTCTCGTCTGACCTTTTTTTAAAATCGCAGTAGAATACCCTCCTTATTTCCATCAGACTGCTGGTTCAATGTTAATGAAAATTTTTAAAAAATCCTGGTTTTCGGAATTTATAATTTGCTTTCCGTGATTGATTAATTTCTCAAGAAATGACTGTTTTAAGATTGAATTCTTTGCTTGAGCAGATATCCTACTAAAACGGGGTCCTTCCCTAACCTTAACAACTCTAAAAACTCAACATTATAGGCGTTAAATTAATATTTTTATCCTGTTTGGGAATCTTCAATGGTTTCGCGCTGCAATTAATACAAACTAAATACTAAACTCCGTGACTATGGTAACTACTTTGTGTGCAACAACCACGGATACTTTGCTTGCACGTGTGGTACAACTGAAGTCATTAAAATAACCGTCCTAGTGGCTAACCTTTGTCCAACTATACCTTATCCAGATTGGTCCATGAAGCACGTAATTTGCAAGATATCTTCATTTGGGTTCTTTCATGCGCCAACCTTCCAAATCCGGTATATTTAGTTTTGTAATTGTTTCACCTCATCCTTTGTACATATATTAACGAATAAAGGCAAAAATGAGTCTTTATCGTGGATCATTCAGGTTCACTAACCACAGATTTAGAGCATCTTGTTTAGAACAAAAGGCGAGGCATAATAACGATAGTTTGTGAAAACACGTGCCTAGTGTAGTATTTGTCAGCACTTCGCTTGAAAATGTCGCATATTACCAAGTAAATGCAATTAGAAAACATGGAACGGGCCAGTGGGTCAGAGACTTGGCCACACTTCGCAGATGACAAGCCGTGCCGAGTTCAGAAAATTTTTTGCCTGGAGGTGAAAAGTGCACTTAGTGTGGCAATGTTATTCGAAAGAGATACTAGGTGCCTGAAAATCATCAACCGTAAAGGGAAAATAGCTTTAACTGTATGAAACATGAATAACTTACTAATAATGATTTGTGCAGTGTTAGTTGCAGCAAAAGCTTAATTTTGTCCGAACACTATTAGTCTAGTGAAAACATTACAGCCATGTTAATGAATGCGACGTGATATAAAAAAGTAAATGAACATTCTTTCTCACCATTCCATTACATTGTGTAGCTATAGCATTTACTGTTTCATCAGGTTTAAAATGCAATAAGATAAAAAATGTGAAATACGAGGACCTCCGTTTTTATAGAGAGGAATTTTTCAGTTTAATTATATTAGTCGATTTCCCATATAACACATGGGATTTATGCACACGATAGAGTGCATTTAATTGATTTTATTTTTTAACTTGATTTTCAAATGAAGATATTCCACATGACCGGACATATCTTCCAATCCACTTATGACTGTAACATAAACACTTGTAGTACATTACCGCTGGGCCAAATCACGTAATGAACATCAGGGCAGTTGCATTTTAATCCGAAAACTTTTTCGATATCAGCTATGGTGACGGTGTGGCATGTCTTGTACCGATGGCTTTTTACGATGCATTTCTAAATGTCACCACATATCTCGTGTCTGGTGATTGGGAAACACCAGAATGTTCAATGTAATTGAGGACACCTTGAATCGGTTCCAAGGGTTTCGTTTGGAGCTAATCAGCTGTATCGGTCATTTGGCGTCACAACGTTTCCAAGGACTGGCGTGTCCATGGGTTGGAGCGAAAAATAGTAAAAACTTTGTTAGTAGAAGTTTCTGTCCGTTATGAAGGCAACAGTAGCCGAGAATCTATTTCGTATGCTTGTTTGAGCTTTAATTTAGACAAGCGTGTGAGCTATACATGACTCTTGGGATGTTTGTTGTTTGGTCAAAAGTGGTTAAGAAATTCAATTATCAGCCTTGAAAAGAAGGTCTACTTGTAACTGAAACTCTTTTATTCAGGTACTATTGTGATGTTTGCCTTGACCGCACGCTATACGCAAGGACGACCAGCAAACCTTCAACCGGGAACAGCATTTTCTGGGCAGAAGAGTTCGACCTCAAGTAAGCATTGTTAATATCCCACCATATCCCTAGTACTAATGCATCAAATAACATCATTTTTGTACTTGCTTTCCCACTTTTTACTCCCTTGAGACAATTTTGAAAGGACGGAAGAGACCTCCTCAAAACGTATTTGTTCATTGTAATGGGCAAATGTTGACAGTTACGTTTATAACAGCCACATTTTACTTCAATAAAATGGAATGTTATGAAGATTTCCATTTTCTTAAACGTAGGCAGCACCGAAAATTGTTAGACACAAATGTTTCATTTTAAAAGCTTGTTATTTTACTTGTCAACAGCCCGTACAACAAATGGTTTCCGATTTTCTGAAGTTCATCTAAAGATTCATTGTAACATCGTCTTAGGCCTACTCTGAGCTAAATGCTGCCACCGATTCTCCCAGCTGTATGTTCTCTGTACTTCCTGAGCTTCACTTGCGAATTAACCATCGATTTATTATGCTATTTCCAAGTTCACAGGCAACGTGTGGGAGTTTTTTGTTTCAGTACTCTGTATTTGGCTTAAAGATGGAAACACTCTGGCACCTGCCAGTTCGCAAAGCCCTCTTTCACAATATCGAGTTCGTATGATGGGTCCTAAGGATGTGCGAATTTGTTCCATTTGTGCAGTCCCTGAGCGTGGGACCGTCCCTCGAATCGCGATCAAACCATTCCCTTTTTTGCATGTTGAACTAGTTGCCCACTTTAATTCCACCAGGTTCATCCACTCAATGGGCACACTAAACATTAAACGTGATTATGATTTCTCCTTTATGCAAACCAACGCTAAGTATCCTATAGATTCAGTCATCCGTGTTTATTTTTTTCAGGAAGCAAAGCACCTAAATATTTTTAAAATCATGTTTTGATTTGCGATATCACTGCATGATTAAGTTGTTACTTGTCATGCTTAAAACAAAGCCTAGCAATAAGTCTCTCCAATATTATCGAAGAACTCGTAATCATTCGTGTTAAGAATTGGCTTACCGAAAATCCTTGAACCGATAATTACGCAACATGCCATTTTGTAGTCATGTATGCACTTTCCTCATTCCATTTTCATTGTCAAAGGCCACTGCTGTATCTAACTTACGTGCGTTTCATAAACGCACATTTCAGTCTTTATGTTCCGCCCATGCAAAACGCCTTTTTTTCAATTAATGGTAAAGCCTACAAGCGTAGGCATGTGAGCGGATCATTGAAAAATGAAAATGGACGCACTTATTCTAAGCACATTAATAAAACTTTTGCGGGACACCGAATTTTTTTATGTGCTGAGGTTAACTGAATGTCCCTCTAGGTGTTGACACCACTCACAGAAGTACTTGCAATGTTTGTAGCCCCATCGATGACCATCACAGAAAACAGAGCAATAGTTTAAAGGCCCGAAGTTTGAGATAATCACGTCAAAGTAAAAGCATGAAAGCAATGAGGATATAACGCGTGCTGTTTTTTGGTAGAGGCATAACAGAACTCATTCGCTTTTTATTCAAAAAAAGTTTGGTTGGCAATGAAAGAGAGATGAAGTACAACAAGAGTAAATTGTCAGAACGGTGGGTTAGTTACGTTAAACATCCTGAGTCCACATCAAACCCGTAACCACTTAAGGAAATGTCCCACTTGTGGTGTTTTGGCAACAGCATAAAATATGCACTTAAATTCCCTGTTTAATTCCACCCACTTTCTCTGTGCTGAGACTAAAATAAAACCTCGTGGAGGGAGCCTTCACTCTCCTAGTCAAATACTCAGTAACATGTCAAAAAACATTTGTTATATATGTTCTGCACGACTCTGACTGATATTTTAAGAGGGCTTAACTCCGATTATTTAGTTAAGGCAATTGTATGAAACAAATTAATGCATAAATAGGATTTTTAAAATTTCAGTTTTGAGAAAATTGTCGTGGGGGTTGCTGACTTATGCACCTGAGTCTAAGCTGATATGAGGGGACTAATCTCATGTATTTGGGCTAATCTAATCAGCTGAAGGATGTCTTAGCTAAATTACGTTCCCTTTTAACTCTCCATAACTTCCTGTGGTTTAGTGTTGTCAAGATAACAAACAACTCCTTTTCTGTAGGTTAGCAGCCTCCTTTTTGTTATTTGATACTCCCCTATTAACTATTTGATTCTGATTGGTTCATGATGTCATTCTGAACCCGCGTTATCAAATTTCGGCTCAGCGACAACCTCTGACAGCGTTCATCGTAACCCATGTGATGTACATCTGCACGGCTTAAATTGTTTACCCCTAGATATGTCGTTAGATTGACCCCTGTGGGTCCATGATTGTTCTGTTTTTGTCTGAAGTCTCCGGGCTCAATGTAAAAGCGACAGATTAAATAAATAGATTGATATCAGCTGTTACGAGTGTTTACTTTCGTCTTGTTTACCTTAAGTGCATGAAAATTTGCATTCAAGCGAGTTCTGACTTACGGCGATAGTATACGTTGGAGTGGTATTTTCGAGTGTTAGTATCAAAACCCTCGCATCATAAAACAAATTTAAGCTTCTAAAATACTTAACACCTGTTTTTTGTTAAATTTGACAACATTTGAGTAAGCCCGCACACGACATTGGTTTTGAGTTTACTTTAGTAAATTAATAATCCAATCTTATAGAATAGATTTAGTTTATTTCTTGTTGGTTTTAAGTTAATTTTCCAGTCAGAAATAAAAAAGCCCAAAAAAGTGCGCTTTTTGCTCTTCTTAATCGCCACACCCTTCGAACATGTGCGCATTCCACTCATGTGTGAGTTTAAATGAACCTACACCTGGCTAGTGGTTTAGACCCGTGAGGTGGTCTGATGAGTAAGTCTTTAACGACCCAACCGGAGACCTAATTCAGATGGGTTTGGTGGTAACAATGTAATTTCAATGAAAATGTTACCGCTAAGCCGCACACACAAACGTGTCGCGATTGTACTCCTCAATGTATTTTTAAGATCAATTTTATGCGGAAACTCCGAGTCACAAAGGTGGATGGCTCAAATTAAGTTTGTCCCGTTTGATAAAACTAGTCACACATTTTGCATTTTGTTAAAATGTTATGACCCTCTGCTGTAGATAGCTTTAAGAGAAGATAGAATTTAGTAAGTAATTTGGATAAAGGGTAATATCAGCAAAACATGATTGAGAATAGTTATATTCGTACAGAAGTTATCTTGGCTAAAAGAACTATTATCTTGCGTTGTTTTCAGTAATCTTCCAGACGTTTCAATCCTGACTATAAGCCTTTATCGTGAAGCTGACGGCGGAGGGCGAGATATACGAAGGGGTTTGCTTACCCGGTCAAACAGTAAGAAGCTTTTAAAGAAATCACAGAACCGTCTAGTTGGTAAGTTCTGACAGTTTTTCCTTTCGCATTGCTGTCTTTTGTTTATACACGGGCCTGTTTTTAAGTTTTTTTCCAGAATCGACAGTTTTGACATTGTTGAATGCATAGGTTCCTTCCTTTTATATGCCCTTTCTGATCAATCTTAGTTAAAAGAAATTTTACTTCCTTTGCCATAGTTTGAGTTTCATACGATGTCGTTCGTATACACAAAAGGAATGAGGTCGCGTTGCGGAACAAGTTGGTTGAAGCTAATAAATTCGTTGAATTCAAAATCTGATACACGGTGTACTTGTATTCATTTGTTTCCAAATGTACTTTTTGGATTGGATTATTTGCACCAGCAGTTCTGGTGCTCGTTTCGCTTTTGGGAGGATAAATTCCTTTACCTTAATTGGTTACGCCAAGCGTTTTCTCCATTAAGCTAAATAAAATTTTGATTCCTCAATTTTTTGGTATTTTTTTATTATTGCCGGGTTGTTTACCACCAATTGTTAGAAAATCGGAAAATGCTGCATTAACCACTGATTCCACCACTAACTTTTAATGTCCCGTTTTGCTCTACTTAATAAAAACGTCACTTCCTACCAAATCCTAGTCTCTATGACTTTCCTTACACGTTAGACACCATTTGTGGCGTGATGTTTGTGTTTTAGTAATATTTACATGAATCTGCCATAAAGCGTTTACCAAATAGTTAAAAATGGAATGTAAGGTCTTGACTGCCACAGTGAACCCCGCAATGCCAAATTAATCGGCGCTCCTCGTGGCTGTGTGTTTGCTGGTCGACGTGAGTCCACGTCTAGCCTCGTGTGTAATATGCCTTAACAAGGTTAAGAACGCTGTACGTGTCTGCCAAGCTGTTTTCATTCAGTCTCTTCACCAAACACGTTAGGTCTTGTTATTTAACTGAAACACATGGTCTTAACACCTCGCTTGTTTATCTTTCAGGATTCGCTGATACTGAGTACTTCTTCACTTAAGCATAGGCTCTTTCGTGCATAAGCTCTGATATACACGTTAGATGTTGAAATGTTTCTGGATAGCTATTACTGTTTTGAACTTTCAGAATACATCAGCAACTAGCGGTTGTTTCACAAAAACTATAGTCAAATTAAGTCGCTTTTGCCTCTACGGTTTTCATTCAAATCAACTTTACCTGTGGTATCGCAATTTCTGAATAGTTAAAACTTCGAACTTGATGGGGAACTTCGTTAGTAGAATGACCGGCATTAATTAGCCACCGTCACCGCGAATTTCCTCCAGAAACTACTGGCCTTCATCCCACCTCACAAGACTCTATGGAACACATACCTTGGACATAAGCCATTTGTCGTTTGTTTAAGTAGGAGAGAGTGTTTTTGAAAAATTATACGCTCGCGTGTGCGGTTGCAGCGCTTGCCGCATGGTGGACGCTGCGGCGGTGGTGTTTTTGGTGCAACATCGTGCCATCATTTGTCAACTGTCAAGCCTGGTTTCGCCCCGCCTACAGCGCAAACGAACGGGTCCATCGTGAACACTCGCGCACGCACACCCTACACCCCCGTGCCCTTGTAAACGTGCGTACGCCCACTCGAAAGTGGATAATAGTGTGTCGTCTTTTGTAGCGGAATTATTCCACCTTTCCCTTCCGGAGGCTGTTTCTTTGTTTTGACGCAGCCAAGTTTAATGCCCATGACCTTTTTTTACCCAAATTCGGACTTCGCATTCGTCTTAGTTTACGTGTACCGGAAACGAAGACTGTGCTAATTCGAATGCGGTTTAGGTGTACGCTCGTGTCACTGAAGTTAATTCGCTCGCCAATCTGCAGCACACGAAACTGCGTACGAGCTGTGGCTCACGAAGAACCGGTTGATTGCGTGCCTCGAGTAATATACTTCAAGTCGTAGCATGCTTCTAAAGTGTTTTCATAACTCTAAAGTAGCTTCAAGGCCTCGCTCATTTAATCAAGGTCATTTTTTTCTCCTATTGTCGGTTTTGACCAAAGTGGCTACAGTGGGCAACACAAGTCTCCGGGTTTATACCTTTCATTCAGCATTTGACTCTGGTAATTTCGAACTTTAGGTGTCCGATTTGGTTCCTTCACAATGATGATACGTTGCCAAAAGTCTGCTTAGATTTAAACTCTCGAGTTGACTTTTACCCCGCCCATAATTGAGGTAAATCTTCTCATTCCACCTAATTGATCTGAATAAATTCAATACCACACTGACTTTCTTCCCAGTTGCAGAATTTTCCTGGCATCCAATTAAGTTTAATATTTCCATCAGTTTTACCCCTGTTTGATGTTATGAGCTTCGACTCATCACATTTAAACTGAGGAAGAATGCATATGGTGATTTTCTTTAACTGAACACCCCAAGTTGTGCGTGTACTTGCCGTTTTTACGTCAGCTTGTTAGGTTATGTTTATCTTTTGCCCTGGAATTCATTCGATATTTATTTGCCCCATCGACCTGAAGTAAGCATGGGGGTAGAAAGCGCTTTACTGTACTTTTCGGCATTTTTTTATTTTCGGCTGGAAAAAATTTCTCGGGTTTTAAATTGGCACAAAATATAACTTTTCACAAGGGTCGTTCGCTATCTGCTTTGTTCTATTTGGGGTGATTGGATGTCTAGGAGAAAATAGCTGAATCAATTGTCAAAAACAAATTATTCCGCACTCTGAAAGGATTTTATGAATTTATGTACTGTTTCTGATGATCCAATACATCTAAATCCTTTTAGTATAAAGCTAACCAGGCAGAAGTCTTTTGTATTTTGTCAGTCAAAATTGCCTGTTAATGTAGTTTCATTATAGTGATATGGGTGATAATGAACTGGTAATTAATAATGCATCAATGGAAGTCTCAATTGTACCCATTTGCAACCTACCTTTTACCTATGGGCTTGAACTTGGTTAATTGAAGCTAAGGGGTCTGGGAGGATGTGCGTGTGCTGCAACTTTTGTCGCTTCCTGGTTTGAGCCAATTCGCCAACATGTGGTTCAGCGTCGCATTGCTGAAGCGGTGACTCATTGCTAAGAGCCTGTGTCAGATAATCATGTGAATGGCCTTGAGTTCAACAGTTCAAACCCTTATGAGCACTGAGAGGAATCTTTTCAACTGTTATGGTTGATTACTTCTTTGCTTTCTGTCCCCTTATAGGTTTTGTGACCCTTCCTGTGGTGAACATATGCTCGCGTAACCCAGCACAGACCTGGCTGACCTTGCAACCGCCTTCGAATGCAGATCTTATCAATCCAGCACTCATCAATCCGATTGAATTTGGGACAAGCAATTCGGTCACTTGTACCAATGGTATTTCAAGTCCTTTGGGAAAACCCCATGGTTCCTCCAACACGGTTGGTGGCACCGGAGTCCGGCTGCGGGTTTCAGTTAGGTACAAATCCATCGACATCCTCCCTATCCGTGCTTACGCTGCTTTGCATTCGGTGAGTAGATCGTTATCCTCCAATTATGGGCTAAACTCACCTCAGTAATGTTTAGCTAGAAAATTTATTGTAATTACAAAATAGCTGCCATCGGCTTATCGTTCTTCAATATGTCCAAAATCGAATTCTTCCCAATACTTGATTTCATCTTTCCGGTCCTAAAGCCCATCAATGAAAACATTTACATAGAGGAGTCTGTTCATAATCTCTTAATGAATTTACTTCTTATTCTTATCTCGAGAAGGTGCATGAGCTCTGTTATTTTTATAACTTTCGAGATAAAGATAATGTTAAATTTCTTATAGACGAGAAGCTAGCTATTGCTAGCTTTAAAGTTAAACACAGTATTTGCTGCATTCTCTTTTTCATTCTATTGGGCAGTTATAACCTTTGCATTTAGAAATTCACAGAGCCACTTGAGAACATATGCCTATTTGTGTTTTGTATAGAAGAAGGATGGATTGGTTTAATAGACCCTATTCCAGGGTTTATTTACCGCTTTGCCTTAAAATTAGTCAGGCATACGGTGTGAAAAGTGCCAATCAAGTACAAATGCAATTAACGCCTTCAGTCGCACATTTCCACACCATTCAGTCGTTATGAGTTAGCCTTTAGTGCCAAATAAAAATAAAATGCAGTTTATAACTGCAAAATACTAACCAAGTCTCCCACACATTGGTTGATCGAGACACCTTTTCCTGTCGTCTGCAAACCATTAAGAGTCATTTACTTAGTAATCATCAATGAGTTGCAATGACGTTTGTGGTTTTTTCTGTGGCACAGATCACACATTTCCAATGACAACAGGATGATCCCAACTCCTCTCACGAGCATGCTTAACATTTGGTAAACCACGTGCACATTTCGGTCAGTACAATTTTCACGTACCGACGTCCAGTTTCGACCTTTGCTTGGCCGGGCTGATTTTTTGTTTTGTTGTTGCCGTCTTACACGATCTATTTTTGCCAATTTGCTTTACTAATTTAAAAGTTGACTGGCCGTTTCGATTCCATGCCATCTGTAAATCGCGCCTTATTCGCTTGTTACGTGACTCATCGCGCTCGACGTGCGCGCGTGTTCGTGCTTGCGGCCTGAATTTGCGTTACCGATATACACACCAGCAGTTCGTATCGAAAACTACAACTGACTTGGGCCCCAATTTTTACCAGTGTTTTCGATACCTTGTGCTACATGTTCCATGGTGGAACAAACGATGGATCGGTGGTGGTTGATTCTTGTACATTGTATATCAAAATCCAGGCTTATGGATTTTAACGGAGTCCCTTGATCATCAGTAAGCATCCTGCAATCCAACTTCACAATCGGCACCAGAAGGAAGTCGCAGTTCAGGCAAAATCTAGGAGGATGGCTGCAAAGAATTGTCGAATACTTTTTAAATTAGCAATCTTGAAGGCGCATGACTCGGGAATCAATCGCTTCTTGATGTATAACATACTTCTGCGCATTCTTATTGCTACCGCGCTCTATTTGGAAGATGGCTGCTGCTATTATAATTTCTAGTCAGCTTCACACCTCCAAAATAAGCTGAATGGTGGTTGCCCGTGTTCGAAAACCTCGCTGTTTATCCGTTGCAGCAAACTTTGTAAATCTTCAAGATACAAGTATTTCACTAGTGCCAAGTTTACCCTTTGAATTACTGTGGTTAACTAATATGTGGAGAAGTCACCATCTATCCATTTTAATATATCTTTCGATTTGCCGACATTTTTATAGATCTTTCAAATTAAAAAAAGTTTAAGTAATGCTTTTTTCGTCATAGCAGCACCTGACCGCCTACGGATAAGTGAATATGTATATAAAATTAGAAACTTCACCTGTCCCCATAGTTGCAACATCCCTAAGGACCTTTACCTATTTGATGACATTGTTTGGTTTTTTGTTTACACATTCCAAAAGCTACGCTAGTGTCAATGATAGTTATTTAGGGATTTCAGTCGATTATATGCCAGTTTATATCCTTTTCTTAAATTTGGTTATCCTCCGTACATGTTTCTCAATCTACTTCCTTCAAAATCAATTTGTTTTAATATCTCAGGTGTACGTAATTCCCGGCTGTGCGTAGCTTCCCAAGCATTATACAAATGTAGGTTTTTAGGGTGTTTATAGGTGAACGTGTTTGTGACGATTCTCCTTCGACTGTTTAGGTTGACTAGATTGGGAGGAAATGCTAAAGCGTTCAATAATGAAAACAAAAATTTTCAGATTCCATTGAGAGGCGTCGATTAAAATTATTTTTGCGATTGAAGTTGCAGAATATGAGATCCAATCACCTGTCATCTGTTTGAGGTAATGCTCATGTACCGAATATACCTGTTAGAAACCTCGAATTCTTTGTAAGGAATATGCTTTAGGTCAGGTCATCTGGAATGCTTTATGTTGCTAATGCCATGTTATTTACAATTGATTACTCCATGGTCTGGTAGATTTACTGGTCTTAAATGTATTTTCTTTAATACTTGATCCTTTTTCATAACCCAACCTGCACAAAACACTTGCAGCGCATAATCGAATTTATTCGGTCCGGCGCCAAAAACCACGGTAATTAAGCTTTCCGGTCACTCAAGCACCCATCCGAAATCATTTAACGCGTAGCAGCAGCAGTGTAATTTACAAATTTGCGTTACTAGTAGGTGTCAAAGGCTTTTCAAACCCAAACATTCTTGCAAGTAAACTTGAGTAGTTGTCTGATCGTGTGTCTTGTGCACTTGACTATGGATTCTTTTTGCTAGCCTGCTTCAATTGAATTCGGTTATATTAGAAATACTGTGTCCCTCTTCAGCCTGACCCACCGGTTTTCACATTTTGGCCGTCTTCCGCTTCCGATATACTCTTCAATTGGTCATTGCAGATCATTTCATCCTTATCAAATTCTCGCGCTGTTTAATATATCAATTTTTGTTGAGATAAATGTAATTTTTTTTTCAAAAAAATAAGGTTTCAAGAATGTTGTGAAAGGTAATGACAGAATTTAGCCACCCCTTGGTTAGTAACCTTAAATATATTTTTATTCAATAAATGAATGCTTAGCCCCGATATTAAATTTCTTGCGCAGTTGTAAATAACACTGATGATGATGGCTGAATTTACCTTTTTTGTGTTCCTACTGTGATGAATAGTTTTAACATTTCGAGGGCCTGTTCTTGCTTTTTATTGGCTTGTAATGGCAAATTAATTGTTCTTGCAAATTCAAGAAAGTTAAAGTGTCTGATTCCCTCTGTTCTTTTTCACACTTTTTCAAGAAAGGATGAGAAAATTGCTGCGTTCATTTTAGTCCAGATGCATATTTTCGCTTTTCTCGCAGAAATCCAACTCTGATTTGCGTCATTGCATGTCGCTAGTACATATTTAAATTCACACGCTTTCAATGGCCGTTACCTTCAGTAGAGCTAAGCAGACCAAGAGTTGCAAACTTTTGTGCAACAAACTTTTGACAACCAAATATTTTGTCTAAGGTTCAATTTTTGGTCTTTCGATTAGCTGGTCCGCGAGAATGCAATAGAATTCACTGAATGGCTCGAGCATTTAATTCCACTCAAGCTCAAGGAAGAAGTTGCCTCCTGTCTGGTGAACCTCCACGAACAAGCCGGAACAGCTGCTGCATTTTTAACTGATCTGGTAGTTCGGGAGGTCTCCGAGTTAGGTGAGTTTGCTCGTTTCAGTTATCAGAGTTATTTCTCGATATCTTATCGAAATTTATTTGCCATTTCACTAAGACACTGAGCCATGGCGACCTCATTTAACTTAAAATCGCCTGATTTATACTTGGTGTGTCAAACCAATACGAAATGAGACACACATTCTATTTGTTCTGATGAACAATCTCAATACTTTTACTAAATAAGCACCCATTTTGACCACTTTTATCCGTGTTATTTTAATAAGCGAAAGCCTATTTTGATAGACCCCAGTAAAACATGTTATGTCAAGTACGTGTAAAACAGTCTTTACCTCAATATATCCATACTATGAAAATTTACGTTCTGTTAAACCTTTCAACTAATATTTCGACCCCGTAAATGTATTTATGTGTAATAAATATTCCAAGTTCCCCTAGATTTCGTCTTAATTCTATCGGCTTAAAGTCAACGCGAAACCCAGATACAGGTATCGTCGGTGAAGAAAACCATCGGCGGCCTCAAAACTATACGATTACCCAGCACGTTGCTCACAAACCCATGCTAAGTCAGCTTATTTAGACATCCTTCCTTTTACCATAACTATTCACGTGCTATTCACGTGCTGACTACCGAGTGCACGCATCTGGCTTCATTAGGCATACTTGGTGTGGGCCCGCGTATTCTTTTAATAGCTCGGGTGTACATTATGGCATGCATGGAAATCAATTTTTTTAACTTAATTTTTTTTACCCGAATTTGAGGCAACTCTAAAAGTGGTCTAAGCAGCCATGTTTCTGATAAAATTAGACCTGGATTCAATCTACTTATGGAGTAGCGAACTCGAAAGGGGGTTCGAGTCATGAGGCTTGACCATTGTTAACCGTAGCTCGTAATTTAACCGCCACATTATCCGCATAAATGGATTCTCACACGTTTTAAGTGTGGAATATAAATTCAACTACTCTATACTTGCAAACTGTTTACATCCCACCGAGTTCGAGTTTGCCTATTTTCCAAAGCATTATCAGTCGCAGCTTAATTGCAATCCACGGGACAACGCGCACTCACAGTTCCAGTTTATCGCCCTCCCACACCGATTGTTATTAATTGTAACTGCATTCTCCTAATATCTGCGAGCGGTAGTGCCTGGAAGGCCTCAGACAATGCGAACTCTCACTTTTCTGTGTGCTTTTGCCTGTACAGGTTGAAACATGAACAATTGAGCCATTTTGTTCAATGGTTAATCGTGTGAAAATGGTCACTTTTCCGTTTGTAGTTACTCTATTGGATGACGTTTCGAGTATAGCGTCAAGAAACTTAAGATGAAATATTAATAAAATCTGTAGTTGAAACCATAATTTAGGGTTGGGACAATTATTCCTGATCGCTAAATTTACTGGAACATGAAATAAAATTGACAATTTCAAACCGAGGTACGCGTTCAAGATGATGGTCTTAAGATTTCGCCAAAATAGCAAATATTGGATTGATATCTCCTAAAATCTAACTCCGCAAGCATTTCAAAACATCCTTTTTAAAACGATACCGAATCGCTTGGATAACTAGGTCATTTTGTATCAATTTCGAGCAGTGCTGATTTGCTAAGTCCAGAAGTAGTTCAGTGCTTGTTCTTCCCAACCTTCCTTACTTATCTAATCCCCACATATTTGGGCCCTAAATCATTACGCAATTGTGTAGGGTTAGGGACCACCAGATTTTCTGCACGTAAATACCAACTTCCTAGCCTGACAATATTAATTTGCACCAAATAATTAATAATTCACACTGCCTGTTTAGCCCACGTGTCTTGAATCGACGCGGAAATTTTTGCTTATTTGTAGTATCCAGGACCTGACAATCGATGCCACTTCACTAACACGTTCCACGTATCATCGATTCCCTGTTTTTTGTAGAAAATGAGTCAATGACTTTCCGCTCGAATACAATGGCCACCAAGGCTGTGGAGAGTTACATCAAACTTGTTGGGAAAGAGGTATGTAGTACTTTGTTTCTTTTAAATTAGTAAAAATTCCTATCTACGGAAGGAAACGTTTTTATGATTGAGTTTCTTAACCCTAATCTCTGTGGTTTTAACGTTTTTTCTGGATAAAAACAAGATATTCAATTTTCGCGCTACTATGCAACTTTTGGTCCTGAAAATATTCTAGCCGAAACTTTTCTCTTTACCATGAGGACTTAAATGTGATTTTTGACGGATCGCCCTACCAAAACAAGCTAAAAACTTTGACCGATGAGCAATAATTATTGGTTAACTGCAACTATTTTAATGTCAAACGGGTATTTGTATCGGGCGACTAATGTTGTATCAGGCAAAAGATGGACCTCTTTAACAACCCAGAAACCACTGAGCGACAATCGGTTGTCCTACTACTTGATTGTTTTTTTGTTAGTTGTTCTTCGAATTTTAAAAGTGTAATGAAAGCACGGGACAATTTTAGGGTTTTACTTGTAGTCGATACTGAATTTCTCGAATCTATGTTAAGCATCGAGATCGCTAGTCGATGCCACGCTGTTAATTAATAACATGAGAAACTGCATTCATTGGCTGCATTTAAATGTATACCACTTGATGCATTGCCTAAGGCTTATTGGATTTCATGTTTACTTCTAGACTGTGAACTTGCATGGGTCTTTCGTCGCTTCACTTCTTTGGTGTCTGAGATCAGTTAAGGCTTCTGTGATTGCTGGCCAGCAGACTAACGTCTTAGGACTAATCAAGCTATTGTATAAAATAAAGCAGCATTATTCCTCAATCATCTGTAGTATGCTTCATAAACCACACGAAAGAAATTTAAAATGTAGCCAGAATTCGTGTTTTATCGACTCCGTTTGAATTTACCTTGGGGACCTCGATGTTTAAAGCACGTGTTACCAACATTATTCGTAGAAATCCGTGATGGCGACTTTAACTTCCCTTTAAACTTCATGTGCTGGCAGTATCGTCAGTAAATTTTGCTTCACTCTCTAGTCGCGCCTTGATCTGAGGTACGATCATATACACAGTTCTTTCTCATGCAATACCCTCTTGAATAATCAGATTATTACAACCGAGCAATAAAGAGGTTAATAACTTTCTTATGTCTGGCCATCAACTGACCACTAGTTCGCATTTCCCCCCTTATTCGCTCAAAACAAGTTATTAAGCTAATGGTCAATACTCGTTTCATCATCGCCCAATGAATTCTGATTCGTTCTTATTTGTCATACCTTTCGTTTTAAGGGAAAATCGGGAGTTCGAAAAGAACTCAGCAACACTCGAAAGTTACGGTGTGGGAGTTTAAATTGCCTACACAGTATACGTGAAAGCTTTAGCCGATGTAGTTATGGTTGTGTTTTGCGTAAGGGCAACTTTAAGTGATGCAAGTAAACCACGCTAACCGTGCACGAAAATGCCACGTTCAGGAACTAAAAGCATGGCTTCAGAACGATATCGACCTCACGTCATTCTGTTCCCTCAACCGTGTGTCCTTGCATTCTCCTGTTCAGAATGAACCCCTTGACTAGGGAAGCAGAAATTTTATGTGCGATTTGTCACTCTGCTTGCATGGACTTGAGTTTTGCGAGAAAGTATAGGGTTGCAGATGCAGTTTCTATGAGTGTAGGCTCACAGCATAAGTGCGGCACCGATATGAAACATTCCACAGAACTTCTCAGGGCATTATTTTGAAAAAAACATAAACACATTATTGAATTATGAGCCCCTGAAAAGCTATTCAGGGAAACCGAAAAGAATGATGCTCCATTTTTCTAGATTAGTAATTGAAAGGGCATGGTTAGGCCAAACATCCCTTTTTAAGAATGGTTCTCTACTGGAGCCTATTTTGCTGCCTTATCGCTCAAATGAAGCATATGCATTCCGTTAAGCGTAGTGTTTTTCTGTACTTTGCCGAGGTCACTCGATTCCATGCTGTTCGGCAGGCCACGCTGTTTATTATCAAGCTGTTTTTATTCGTTGGCATTTCTTTAGTATCTTCATAAACTCCTTCATCGGTACATCCAGCGAGTCTTGATTTGCCCTGACACCTGGGAGGTGGACCCGGATAAATTATCACCTCATAGCCTTTCTGCAGGTAGTCTCCTTTCCCCAGACGGCCAAGGAACTTCTACATCTGCGACCATAATTATCCAAGACTACTGCGCCAGAAAACTTCTTTCTACTGACTATGAGCAGCAAGTAACCCCTAACAGCCTCTCGCGTCTCGCCGTACTAACCAACGGGCGAGTCGCTCAGCCTGGGAGCCTTATTTTTAGTCAGACTCAACTGCTTCAACACCTTGATTTTGTGTGGGATGCCGTGTGTGCAAGTATCCCCGATTTTCCTAGGTACTTCTTTTTTTACATTCTGCTTCCAAGCATACGCTGAATTATAACCTGTACATAAAAGCGTGTACACACCATTTAAAGTTGTGACAGTTATGAGAGCTTAAGATGCTCTCTCATAGATAAGCACTATTCATGCATCAGGTGGTTCCATTACCTTTTTAGAAGGTAAAGCACCGTCATAGTAGCGGCTGCAGCGTCTACATCTACTACTGTTTACTTATAAAGCACCAGCAAAATGTCGCAAATTAATTACTAGATAAATTCTGAAAAAAACATCAGCCAATATAAGAGCTAGAGGTCACTTTGTATATGAAACAAACCATAATAAACTGAATTTTATTGATCACGGCGTCCAGAATGTAATAAGATTTATTCCGAATGAATAATCACGACGATTTTTTTTAAATTATCCAATTTTTGCAAACGTCAGCAGCATTGTCGTTGACAAGCTTATATGTTGACAAGCAAAGTAAGAAAACGAGCATTACAAAGCACCCAATCTGCTTTTTTCCCTTAGTGTGACTTTCCGTAACGAGTTTCACACTGTCACATTTGTCATGAGGCGCAATATTGGTGGACGAGCTGGTGTTACAGAAATGCCCTCATGCACTTGTGAGGAAAGTTACTACCAGATTTATGAATGTCTTTTTATCAGGCTTACATTATGGGGAAATAAAGTTCAAAGTAGACTACTAATCAAGACCAAAAATGTGGCTGCCTGATTTAAACTGAACGCATTCCACAGATGTCACTAGTTACACTCCAGTTAGTTACGAATGTCATAAGAGCTAGGGGATGGTCTGTTTATGTGATATTAATGTTCCTGTGTAGCGAAAACCGTATTTTACGACAAGCCTTTCCATCGTTTCACTGAACACAGAGGCATAATGATCGGTGTCCCATGATGACTCACACCGCACAACTTTCCATTTTAGACCCCTTTTGGAAGTATTCTCAGCATTTCGCTCAGTTCTGCAACCAAGCAAAGGTGCCGAATTCTGCGACAAATTGATTTCAGCCTGTATTTTTCTACGCTTTGTTTGTCCAGCAATTCTGACTCCGTCGCTGTTCGGCCTTGCAAGCACCTTCCCTGGCGAATCAAGCTGTCAGCGCAATCTCACCCTCATCGCCAAGTCTTTACAGTCGCTCGCCAACCTTTCAACATTTGGTGATAAAGTATGAATTTTATAATTTTCAGTATACACCAGTGTTATTTATTTACGGTTCAGACAGATTAACTAAATCATGTAATACTGTGTAATACTGTGTTATGTTGCAGTTTTTCAAATATTCTTTTTTTTTCTGGAAAATATTTGAATTCACCGTAATTTAGCCGTTGTTTTATTTCGTTTGGAACAACTGGTTGGACCAAAGAGACAGCGTAAATATTCCATTGTGTGTTTTGAAGGCAAAATGTTGCCCATAAAATAAAAGTTGAATTCATGGCTCAGCGCTAAATAGATGCAGAAAAACCTGAATTCACCTGGAGGAAGGTTGTACTGGCATCAGTTTACGGTAAATAATAATATTTGCTCAAACCTCACATTTTTCCGAACTTTATTAAATAAGTTTTCTTTTTTTAAAAATGTCATTCAGAACAAAAATGGACCTTCTGTTGGGGTTTTTCTGGTAGCATTTCGAATCTCCTTAAGTGGATTTAAATTATCAAACTCCTGGATGTGTTTATTAGCTCAATAATTAGTCTTAAAGTAGTCAATAGAAATTTTTTATTGCTTAAACGACTTGGTGCTAGGCTTGTTCAATGGGTCAAAACAAACGGTCCAGCTCGAAAAGTCCATTTGCGTAAATATTTCTGCGCACGGTTGCGCGTTCTCGTGCGGTAAGGTCATTCATCTCCTGTTACCAAGTCTAGCGTTCTTGTTTCGGGTTTTATGTGAATTTGCTAAAACTAATAACCGTGCGTCATTGTAGTGGTAGTTTCGCCGCATGGTTACAGTTCTAGAGGGGTTCTACTACGAACTCTGGTAAGTAGAAAGGCTACATTCCAATCCTACTGTTCGCTGGCATCCTCAGACCTTGCAAATTCGGAGGATGGTGAAAAGGCGAGACGCCTAATTCGACGCAGCCGCTTATTCGGCACTAATGTGTGTTAATATATATAGGAGTACTGGGAGACCAACTGTCCAAGGAGTAAACGTGTATGAAAAAGACTTCGTAAATCGTTAAATGAATTCACCAGAATCATCCAAATTGGGAGCAATTTGCTCCAGGCTAGCAAATAAAATTCGCCTTATTTGTTGAGAAAATCTCGCGATTGAGCGTTGATTTGCACAAAAAGATGTGCTACTGCACCACAGCTAGTTTTGGACAGCCATGCCAGCCCGTCATCATTGATAAGCGAATTCATCAGAGAGCGCAAGGTGGTTGTGATGAGCCTTTTTTAAATTTGTTTTATCCACCAAACTTCTAGCTTGTTTGACTATCCTAGCGTCGAGTTAAGACGACTAATTACTAGTTGGAACTTGAAATTTCTCCACTAAATTCCGCATCGCTTTCTGTTGAATTAGCCTTATCGTTAATTTTAGAACACTTGAAATAACTTCACTATCACATGTACACACCCTAGTAAAAAATTCTCGCCGATTCTGTCATAGCGCTAGTATTAAGTTTATACTCAGCATAAAATAGCATTTATGTAATTTTGAACATCCACGTAATGTGGTTGAGGGGTTTCTTACTTTCATTAATATTTTAAGTGTCATGCTGAGAATTACCAGTTCGGTTCCCCATCAAATAATAAAGAGAATCAGTTAACGCCAAATATAATTATTCATTTCGGAAAAAACAGGTGCGTCATGCCTTTAACGGAAATAGTTTTAAAACTCAGTTCGGTACTTTTCTTCAAGTTGCTCTTATGGAATGCAATGGTCTTGATTTTAAATTTGTAACTATGGCTTACGGCCAAACTCATACATGGCTTTTGCATAAATGTGTTAAGGCATTTATTGATTAAGTTATCAAAATTAACGGACATAGCTAAGGCTGATGTAGGCACACACTAGAATATTTGTTGTAAGATGACAGAACAGCAAAATCAAACTATTTACACAAAGCATTTTACTGATTGCTCGCTCTCCCGCTCCCCTATGTGAATGACTGGTGGAACTCAGTTTGGAGAAACGCCGAATGTCTTGTAACTCATCTGACTGTTTTATTTTTTCTTCCTTATTTCAAACAGGAATCCTTTATGAGATTCATGAACGCCTACGTGGAGATTCAGATACCAGTGATGAGAACCTTCCTCCGGGATATCTCCTCTTTGCCCGACCCTTTCGGGCATTGCAGTCAATCAGTGTCCCCGGTAGCCAACAGCATAGACTGTGGCTACGAGCTTGCCTGTCTCCAGACCATCTGTTTTGAGCTCTTTAACGCTTCCTCTGCTTCCAGCAGTCAACAGAACACCAGCACCTCAGTAAGATACATCTGTGTAATAAAGAAAACTAAATTTATCTGACTACGTGGGACAGCGCTGTCAGCATCACCCCTACCGATTAATATTCACTAAACTTTATCCCACAAAAATTTAATTGACGTAGTCCTTTATCAAAGAATACCTGGTACCACTTGTCTACGATTTCAAAATATATTCCCACCCGGGGTTGATTGTATTTCGAAATGGGTCTTGGAGGCCCAGTTGAAAAGACTGTCATTTAGGGGTTTTGTAGATTTTTTTCACACAAGTACTTTCTAATCCTTCGGCTATGAGTTTAATTTGGTTTAGCGAAACGCACGCAAGGTTGGACATAGGCTCAAGGAGTGTTTCAATAACATCTACATATATTCCATGTTCAAAAAGTAGTTGTTTGGGATTAACGGTTTAAGGATTCGGTGATACGTAAGCGAGCTCGGCGTCTTGTTGGTTTTAATCGTTTCAAATTTATCCAAGTGCCTTTGCCATGCTCTTTGAACTCTGGTGCATGAATTCTGAAACGGCCCATAGATTTAATAGGTCAGAGAGGGGACAAATGAGTTTGGCATTTTGTCTGTGAGCTTTTGCTCGATAAATATTTTGCATGGGGCCGATATTCTTACAATGAATGAAGCGAAGTCCCATCTTATCATGAGGACAAACTGTAGTTCCAACGGTAGCACCTCCAACGCAAGCTTACTAAATGTTGGAGTAACAAATAATTCCTGTAATTTTTGCAAATCACACAGCTTGGCTGAAATTCGTATCGAGAAAAAGCCGACCAAATAACTACACCAAACAAAAATGGCAGAAATTTGCTTTATCTTGTGGGTTTCAATTAAATAAAAAATCAACTGAAATGATGGTATAAATAACCAGTAGTTTAAAATATTTATATTTTCATTGAAATTACCTAATTTCATGTTTGACCCGGTCATTCATTATATGGACAAAACAACTAGGGTTATCTTGTGAATAGTAAAGTGGTAACTCGTGATGAGATTGGTCTGGTCGGGAGTCGAGAATCAGGCTGATTGAAAAGAGAGTGAATCACAATATAGAAAAATCGCGAGAGAGTCAAGAGGAGGCGAAATCGAGTTGAGCTGACTGAGAGTCGAGTCTTAAGGATGGGCGTAATGGACGAGTAATGACCGCCGTTGGGATAATGAATGAGCATAGGATGGCTTCAAAGTTGACTATCATTGGGGCGGAGAGCACTGGATAATACTGTGCCACTTAAGTTGTCCTGGATTATCTCCGATTATTAGCTCGTTGAATATTCAACGTGTCCAATCTCATGGTCACCATTTGTAGAGGCTATCGACTGTGTTAGGGCTCACTATTTGTTGTTGTATCGGGTCAGGTTAGGCTCAGTGTATCTAGGAGCCCTATTATGAGTCTCGAACCGTACTATGCATGCTCTGCAGATACCCGCGAAGATCAAAAGCACCATAGACGAAGGAGAATACCGTTTACTCTTGTTTGTTGTGTCGTGCTGCATACAAAGTCGTGCACTGGGTGGACATTAGTTGTGGATGGTGTCAACCAACTGAATTCGGATGAACCAGCAAATGCTCAGGCCGTTGAACGATAATACATTCGGTCGCAGCAAACGGGTGCGGTAATCAGGTATGTCCGCATGAGCGATGGGAACGCTGAGAAGAGATGGGCGTCTGCATTGATGGACGCGCATGCTCACGATTTACTATAATGTAAACGCTGTGCATCAACTGCGTCTGATCGCAGACGGGCACATTAAAAGAGCAATAACTTTTAGGTAAACAAGAGTGTATACTTATCAAAGACATGAGGGCCAAAAGATGTGGTTGAGGATTCCTATGTTCTGGCAATCTCAAGATTGTGGGTGTGATGAGTATCGCTTTTTCAGATCCCATAAAACTGCCCAGATCCGAATTTTGACAGTAACTTTACAACGGATAACCATGTTTCATTTTAAAATGTTAAAATTAGATTATTTTTACATACACACAGTCACGGAAAATTAAAAGTCCTTTTTCCGTGTGTAAAAAGGTTTTTTTGAGATCTTGCTTCATGAACCATGTCGAAGCACTGAGCCTGAAGCTGATTTTTGGAAGAAGCACTGACTTTATTGATTGCACTAATGCATGCTTTTATTACGTTTAGGTCTATCTTGTTGGAGTTGATCGCTAGCGTGCAAAAGCATACAGCGCGACGCTAAATACCGCAAAATTCGCCTTAGCTAATCATTTTCGGTGGCTATACGCACAAACATTTGCCCGAAAAATAAATCATGTTTCACTTGTTTTTCAACTGGTGGGTTGGCTTGATGAGTACACCCTCGAAATCGAGTTTTTGAAGTCGTACTTTTTTATGAACATTGGCCCAGGTTATATAGGTAACGGACCTTACACTAGACCTAGTGTCACGGTCCAAAAACACAAGGTATTTCTATTTAAATAAAATTATTTGATTTATCAAAATCTAATTTTAGCTGGAATTTAAAATATCCTGGAATAATGTAGAAGTATGGAGGCACTCTCTTATCCATCCAAGCATCTCATTATGGACTTTTAGATTCGTTCGAGGAATGTGTAGTTGGGGAGCTAGTTGACGATAATTCTTGTCTAACATGCTTGTTTGTAGACGCGCATTCCCCAAAAGCAGTGGAAAAGAATGGGTTTTGATTTAAATAGGAACATTTCTCTTCACAGCATTACGCAGTGAAACATTTGCACTTGTTGAAATCATCTGCACACGTAGCTACTGACTTGAAAGCGGCACAGGAGATTCAGATGGTCCAATAAATTACTGCTTGATCATGTTTAGATTGTCCGGGGTGATGTAGGGAAGTCACTCCATATTTCATGGCTAAATAAACTTCAGTAAATATCTGCCTAGCACTAAAGCTTTTACTTAAGGTCTGGTGAAACAGATGGACATTTATACCTAAGAAAGATACAAAGACGGTGAATTTGTTCTTCAAGATAAATGGCCTTCAGTTACCATGGCATCACATCTTTTTCGACTTACAAACTCAGAGTTGAGGTTTTTAGAATTTGGTATTTACCCTTTTACTAAAAAAGCCAGTATTATTGAATTCGCACTCTAGAAGACTGCAAACTGACCCACACAAAAGCTTTTCAAAGTTGGCAAGCCCATAAAGTTCTCACCACTGTAAAAGTCGCACTGTTCTCGTTTCAATATTAGACACCAAACAATGACATGGCCTGTTAACTTTTTAGCTGCTCACTACAAGCCCTGGAAAGTCCCCACTCACCTCCCTCCCGCCTTCGCTAATTCGTCTTCCTGAGATTATAACTCACCTTGAGAATATCAAAAACGGGATCGCTATCGAAAGTGACTTCACCGAAACCCAATCTATATTCGATCCCTCCTATGCATCCGGAGATTCTAGAAGACGTCTTCTAGCAACTGCAGACGGAAAGTGTCAGCCCCACCGCCCTCTCCTTCCCCGATTCACCGTCTCAATGGAAGATTCCATGGGACCTTTTGAAGCAGAGTCTTTGGGCGGCTTTCGATCCCTTGTAGATAACACCCCTATGAATTCATCCATCCAGAAACCGACTGCAGTCCGACCCAAGACTATGCGGATGACATCTGCCTCACCGGGTGACCAACAATCGTCAATTATTAATGCCTCGAAGGCTTCAATGACAAAGTCAACTTCCATGGGAAATAACAGGATCGATAAAGTCACCTTGCGCGAGATCCGAAAAGCTTCTGCCTTTCCACGGGGCATTGAGGGGTCTAGGAGTGGTGTTGGGTCAAATACGTCTGCGCCTGGAAATGATTTGGATTACGATGACCCGTATAATGATGATGTATACGATTCGGCAAGTAACTTCTCATTTTACTTACTGAGTAATAAATGTATAAATATATAAGATGGAACGAAGTTGCATGTTGTCAAGGCATATATGGGCCAATGCAGGAAGCGTTTTAGCCAACTAAAATAGATTTAATTAGTAAGAATCTTAATGGCGGTACGTTTACACAAATGTAAGTTCATAATTTCAAGTTATCGTAAAATAAAACCGATTTTAGTCGCTTAATTCTTACAGTGATTTACCTTTCTTAAAGTTAAGACTAAAGAGCTTTCAATATAGCAGTTGTTGGATACCTTAGGGGTTTGCTTGTCGCTGCAAGAAAAGAGAAAAATGTAGTTCAATCCCTAGGAAAGGGTTGAAAGTGTGCGTAAAGTAACAAAATCAGTTCGCGAGTCGGTTATTTTAACACTAGGCATTAGTGAACGACTTTGTGAGACCAAGTCGAAAATGTGTTGCTAGGTTTATCGGTTTACCCATTATGTTCTATGCTCTTTTGTTAGACTTTGGCGTCTCGTAGGCGGACTATTTATGACGCTCCCTATGAAGAGCCGGAAAGGACCGGCGGACAAGTTTCTGCCAATGACGAGAGTCCTGCACACACCCTCCACTTTCCTTCTCCTCCAAGTGCCTTTTCGCTGTACCGGCGCCCCGCGCCGACGGCTGTATCTGGCACTAAGTCGATAACAGAGGTTCCCGTAATGGAGTGCGCTGCAAGCCCCGTTACCATCCAGTCGACGACCGCGAATTCACGGACGTCGAGTGGTGTTTCCTCTGGTTGTACACTTCATACCTCCCCCCGAAAAGCACACCAAGTTGCCAATTTGGGCAAGGGACAGATGAATTCAACCTTTGCGACCGGTGAAAACCTCGTACTCGAGCCTCGTCCCAATCCCGTTATAACGCATGTGGGCATTTTTACTATATCTGTGCAGACACATGGGACATTTTTAATCTCTAATTTCCCGATACATTAAGACCGGCTGCCGTACATGGCGCAAAATATGGTAGCTACGTCCGTATTAGAAAGAATTGATTTAAACTATAATTATGTTAAGCCTTTGAGAATGTTTAGGTTTTGCGCCCTTCTGATGTTGCTTTCGTACTAATGGTCAGCATCAGCATTAATTTAATTCATTGAAATCTATTATTTAACTCATATTGCTACATCTGATAGTTCAGCGGTGTCATTAAACGTTACTGAAGCAATTCAGAGCTATGGTTCCCATTTTTATTTGTACCTTTATTCCCCTGCTTTTCAATGTTATGAAAATACCCATCGTTCGGAACATGGACGAGGCTTTGAAGCTTATGCTAGTGTAACCTTGAGGAAAACACGTGATTTCAAAGCAATAAATTGGATCTCTTCGTCTTTTGGATGCCACCACTAAAGTCATATTAAATGCGACTAATGAGACCGGCTTTAAAGACTGAAAAACATGCAACTTACTAATACCTGGAGATTTTGTAGTTACCGACATGGATTAAACGAAGTGTTTTTTTTTCAAATAGGTCAAGGAAGTTACAAAAAATTTGTCTGTCATTTAAGAAAACAGATTGCATGGTTTCATGCGAGCAACCCAAACGGAAAAATGGGCAGACTCGCTGGGTTTTTTCGTGTTGATGACTCTTTATTAGTTGTTTTCATGTTTGTAATTTTAAACAAGGAGTAGGAATTCTTTGACATTTCGAGATAATCTATTATGGCATCTGCTGTGAAGCAGTTAAAATTTGCAAAGCATATTTGATTAGCTGGATTGAATAAATTTCCCTACCAGTCAGCTCGTGGATAAGAAGCTCGGTCCACTTTATCGGCATGGTAATGAGGCCTGGTATTTGCCAGAGCACGCTTAATATATTGCTGGTTTAAATTATCTACATTTGCAGTTATGTGAAGCCTTTTTATTTGCCTAGATCAAACATCTTTCGCGCTCTTCCACGAATTCTTCTTCCTCTGGCCGCTCTTCCCTCACAAATAAACAGGATTTGGTGGCTCACCAGCACCACTATCCGTTTCGTCAGGCTGTCAACGCCAACCTGGCCAAGTGCGCCTCTGATGTCGCCAACGGCACCTCAAGCAAACGCAAGAGTCAAATGTCCTCTTCGATGGAAAACACTTCATACCAGGTGGACTGCAGCTTTGCCAATGACTCCACAACTGCCACGACAATCGGTTCAACAGTAACTAAGGCAGGAGGTGGGGTCCTTCCGAACTCAGCTTTGCCCAGAGTGAAGAGCAGTGGCTTTACCGGGGCTCATGGCCATCAGCCACACGCTCAGCTGATATTAAAGGATAACGAGCAGTTGCTGTCATCTACTTTGGAAGAACTAGGGGATGCAGTTGCCTGGTAAAAAATCATTGATGTTACCCACCTCACAACGCACCAGGGATCATGCCACCGCAACGCGTGAAGCTTTTTTTTATTTCTGATGTCGCAGTTGTTTAGTCGCGTGACTCTATGCGGCCGACAGATTTAACTGGTTTTTTATATAGTAACAAAACACGGTGCTTGTTGCACTTCTGGAGTGCTGGGCGGACACGTGGGCAAATGGATAAGTAAAAAGGGGGCCGCCATAATTAACAAAACTCTATAATTGTAACTTAGGCTAGTGCAGTTCTTCAATGAACCATTTTTTTTGCAAAAAAGCTGTGGAATCCCATATTTGCTAGAATTGGTAGCCAACATACACTGGATGCACAAATGCTGCCTTAGTTTGACCTTCACACGTCTCTCATCAATTTAGCCATGCCTCGTAAGGTGGGTGTAGGAGTTGGATTTCACTAGGACACAGTTTTTGTCTGACATGCCATTGCCAACATGTTTCCAATGATCAAACCTGTCGTGAATAATTTCGATCTACAGCATTTTCGTCTACCATATCCTTCTCGTCTGTCCCTCTATAACGGAACCACATCTAGTGGCCTGTTAGGAATCTAAAGGCCACGGGACAGAAGCACTATCTCCTATTCTTTGTGAGGTAAATTAGCTAGACGCGTTTTAGGTATATTAACGCAATGATAACTCGGGAGCTTGTAATTCCAGCTCCAGGACACCCAACTCGGGTACGAAAAGTCGTTGGCTTGATTCGTTGCATTAATGAAATGCAAAGAAATTTTTCTAGAAATAATTTCGCCAACAAATTTCAGTTTTTACAAATGTTTATGCACATCATCAAATCAACAAAAGACGTTCCGATTGGGCTTTAATTGTGAGAATGCAACAATCCTGCTTGTTAATTTCTTTTACATAAGCTTTGTGACGTCAATTTTACAGGTTAGTATTTATCCATCCGTTGTGGTTTCGTGCCTATTTTTAGGCTTGAGAGAGAACGCAGTGACTTGTTGAGTATGCAGGAACGTCGACTACTCAGCAATCACCCCCCATCTCGAACAGTCTATAATAGTTGCAGTAATGTATTTGCTGTCAACAGTACCTGTGGTGTTGCACCGCTAACAAATTCCAGAAAAGGTGCCTTGTCAACCCCCCAAACATCGGCTGCATCCGGAATGAACACTGCCACTTCAACGGTATCGTCATCACCATTACAACAGCACCTTAATCCCCACACTTCATCTCCCACACTCCATTTGCTCAACTGTACACATCCAACTGCAGACGAAATTGTTTCCCTTACCAGATCAGCTAACAGTCTTACAGAACAGAACTTCCCCCACCATCAGCACCGCCGATCTGCCGTCTCAAAAACCTTCACCTTGACCCGATCCGGCTCTGCCTCTGTAAGCCCTTCACGGAGAAGTAGAGAAGGGAGTGACTCCTCTGACAACGCTTGCGGTTACCAGGTGCGTCGAAAGCGCACCACAACCTTGATTCCGGCCAGCAAGGTTTTGTCGTCGATAACTAGTAACAGCGTAAACCATCGATCAGGTCCACAAACACCAGTAGAAAGGAGAAGAATTCCAGGTACAGTAAATGACAGTGATGAAGTGACAGAGCACCCCATGCAGCAACCCCAGAAGCAACAGTCTAGCTTTGTATCTACGTGGAACTGTAACCTCTATATTCCTAACAATCCTCCTAACATCGCTGATGCCGGGCGTTCGCAACGTCGGAGTGCTGGCGCAGGCTTTATCTTGTCAGGTTCGCCGCTGCTTTCATAATGCCGGCAGACTCACATTTTGTAAATTCTTGTTAACTTATTTTGTTTCGAGTTGTTTAGTCATGTTGACTTGGTTTGCGTGTTTAATTGTGGGTGACTGATTTATGCAAAAAGAGGACATTCAAATTAGAAAGTCCACATGCTATTCAAATTCAGGTCAGTAAGAATTACTGTCTACGTAATCGGTCAGTTCAGCATTTGACAAATAATAGTTAAGGTGATAAAAAAGCATCAACTTAAAATGAAAACGAAATCGCGTCAGGAGCTTATTCAATAATTTCAATTAATGTAATCACGTTTTTTTCTAGCTCATTTATAATCACGTAGAAATCAAACGTTTAAAATGGTTAGTATTTCGACTGTCTTTTACAAAAAGTAGGATTGAGCGACACATTTCGACGCCTGAGAAATGGCAAAGCGGCACCAATATCTGGATGAACGGCATAAACCGATTATGGTGAGCTTAACTGGGATCTAAATTCCGGCTCCATTGTAAACCCGTGTAAAAACATCGAGGCGAACACACAGTAATTTGACGGAATCTCCCAAACGAGGCGCAACCGAAAACCACACCAAAGTTCAGCTGAATGCCATCGGTAAAAGGCAGTTAGAGCTACTTTCCAATAACATGGCATTTCAACCGAAAACGTCCTTGAAAAACTGGTCTCTCAGACACCTCGTACAGCTCTTATTGGCTCTCTTTGTGGATGCACACGCTGTGTGCTTGGCTCGGACGAGCATGGAAACCAAAACCACGTGTCATGCAGCGCCCTCAACCATAATGCTGCAACGTAAACAAGACAATTGTAGTAGGTCTTAAGAAAACACTGGGTTCAGGTCAGGTCATTTTGTGAAGATATCGGGGAGAACCACCACTAGAA